CTGTAAATGTCAGTTATTTACCATGTATTTTCTGCTGCTGTGGACCCCCCCTGTGTTATGAAAAAACACAGAGTTAGGTATTTGACCTCCTTTTTGTTAAGCGTCTCGAGATAACATTTGTTATGAATTGGCAATTTACAAATAATGATTGATTGATTGATTGACCAAATGTGAGTGTTTGAATGAGGTTGACCTGTGAATTCAGAGCTTCCCTCTGGCTCAAATAAAATGCCTGACAACCTTACATCCATTTACCCCTACTCGCAAACAGGATCCAGAACAAATTGACCTTGACCTTCAAATTTGTGCTTACTGTCATTCTGACATTCATATGGACCCATGTGTGTCTCAATCTGTTGACTGCTAACGAGGCTGCAGATTTAGAGACAGAAAAGTAAACACCAGTAAAATGTACAAAGTCGAGGGGATTTTACTAAAGGTATAGACTTTTCTCTCACATCAACCAAACTTTACAGTGCATTAATGGGCAAGGCAAAGGTGCATGATATTGACCCAAAATCACTTTCATTTGATTCTCATTAGTAAGGGATATGTTGAGGTCAAGTAAGCACAGGATTTATTGGAACTCCAATAACACTTTATTTAACTAACAAAAATGTGAACCTATTTGTAGACCGCTCATTAAAGGCAGACTTAAGGAGGAACCTCTGCACCTCTGCAGTAAGACTCGCTCTCTTACATAAAGCATGTTATGTTATTTTCACTTGCGAGTATTTAAGCCCCCCCCCCCCACCAGCATCCTCGTTCTTTGAAGATGCAAATGTGAAGAACTGTGTATCAGCTGCAGTGAACATGTAGGAGCTGAACTGATGTGTTTAGTTTGATGTTTTCTTTCTGTTTAAAAAAAAAAAAAAAAAAAAAAAAGCTTTAGCAGCATTTTTATGCTTCAAAGTAAGGACGATAATCCAGCAGGCTTTTCGGAAATGTTCTCTGTGGTTTGTCCAAATGTCTTCAGCAATGGAAAGGTATTATAAGATCCCTTTACGGTAATCTCAGGCTCAGCTTTCAAATGTGCCTGCAAAATGTAAAGCTTTCATCAGAATGCACCGGGGTGGGTTTCATCTGAGAGACATTTTACTTACCATGTTATCTTAAATCTAAAAATGGTTTATCAGAGTTTAGAGGCCAGCAGTAAGATACAAATCTAAAGAGAGTATTTAGTTACCTGATGTGAAACTGAAGTGAGGACCCATCAGAGAAAACAGCAGCATGTTGTTGAAACATGTCTTCCAGCACAGTGGGACACAATCTCCCAGCACTAATGATTTGGTTCTTGTCATTGGAACTGTTGAAACAAAGGAAAAGACCCCCGGGTAGACCCAGAGTTCACTGGAGGGATTATATATCCTCTCTGGCCTGGGAGCACCTCCGAATCCCCCAGCAGGAGCTGGAAAACGTTGCTGGGGGAGATGGAAGCCTGGGTTGACTTCCTGCGCTTGCTGGCATTGCAACTCGAACTCGGATAAGAGGAAGGAGATGGATGGAAATGAAGAAAAAGGCTTCTTGGGCCAGGGATGGGTGGTTATTTGTTCCTCGTCTCAAAATTTCAGCTATACCCTGTGAATTATGTCGAAACCGAATCATGACTTAAAACTTTCCTTTTTGATAAATCTTAGTGGTCCTATACATCAAGGTTTCCACAAGACCGACTGTAAGCTAGCAAATATGGATGACAATTCAGAATTCAAAATGTAGTTTTATTGTGACTTTGCAAATGTTTTATGAGAAAGGAAAGCAGCCCTGACTTCAAAGACAGAATGACGCCTAGGTGCTGGAGTAGTTTGATACCTGACAGATGAACCGAAGAAGAGGACTCAGCAGCTGGCGGTGATGAGTAGTGGGCTTGAATGAACCTTACTGAGATCAAATCCAACTCTATTGTTTGCAATTCGGTTTGTTAGTGACCGTCATACATTCTCACTATTTGTTTGAGATACAACTTGAAAATTGCTGTTTTTGAGAATTTGTGATGAATCTGGTGATTTCCTTGTGAATCTGGTCCAAACATGAGCATGAAATCCACGTCTTCAAATAGTCTGTGAAAAAAGTTTCACTTACCAAGTTGAATGTGATTTCAGCGATAGACAAAATCACCTTCACCACGGGGTATGTTTAGAAACGTGTTACCTTGGTTACTTACACCTCATTATCAGCACAAAAATTCTGTCATTTATATATATATTTTTTTTAATTACAAAGACCAACAAATTAACACAATACACAACAAACCACAACAACATACAGACACATTACAACAAAACGAACAAAGATTAACAACAGCAGTTTTCACAACCAGTAGAGCTTTCTAAATAAAATATTTCATATTTCATTTACATTCAATTGTGTTTGATACACATTACACTGAACCATTCCTCTTTCAGAAATATTGCCAATGGGGACCATCCCCTTACAAAAACCTCAGAGGTACCTCTGAGTACATGAGATCATCTCTCCAAAGGCAAGATGGACATCAGTTTTTCATACCACATTGAGATATCAGGAGGATCTTCGTCTAACCATTTCTGTAACACTGTGAGGCGTGCAGCATATAAAGTAACTCTAAGAATGTACCGGTGCCTACGGTCACAGTCCTGTCCAAGAACAAAATGATGAGGATTTAAAGGAATATAACGCCCAAATATTTTCTTTATCTCATTTTCGACTGAGAGCCAAAAGTTTATGATTTTAGGACATGACCACATAAGATGACCATACTGTCATTTTTTTTAAATTTCAAAACTATTTTACCATTTCCTCTCATCCTCCCTCATAATGGTTCTGATTTGTGTTTGGTAGGAGCTGCTTTTCTGTTTCTGACCAGCAATGACCCAAATTATTCATCTGTGCTCAGCAGCCCCAGTATCAAACTACTCCACAGGGTTGTACTGACCAGGTCGTCTGGGGGCCACTAAGTGGAGCCAGTTCCCAGTCCAGACATGCCCCTGTCTGCCCACTTTAAATCCAGCTCCAGCCTGCTGCTCTGTGTGGGTCAGAGCAGGGTCACACATGGTCCTCTGGTGCCAGAACACAGCAGAGTGCACAAACACTTATCTACATCCAGCCTGAAATGGACGAGTCCCATGGTTGGAAATGATGTCAGAAGCAGAAATAGTTACTTTAGGGGTCAGAAGGAACGCAGAGAGTGCATCAAACATTTGGACATTATTTTAGGAGAAGTGTGCTGAGGGAAATCAGCTCACATGGATTTTTCTTCTCTTCCCCAGGTCAGTTTAAAGTCAGGAGTAAAAGGAGGCTCCACCCATTTATCGAGAAGGTGTGTCTACAGGTGTCTAACAGCCTGCTGTTGTTTTATTCAAAAATCATTTCAGAGACTTTTCGTTTAAAAATGGCAAAAATCTGGGATGGTGGAGTGGCAAGAAGTTTGTTAAAGCAGTTAATTTAATTCAGTGAGGAGTAACTTAGTTTGTCTGATTATTTTATGACAAACCCTAAAAACAGTGACTTTATTACCTAAACATAATCATTAGGAATGCAATGATACCTCACAATACAATAAAAAATCGATACAAATAAAAAAAATGACAATTCAAATCAATGAGAAAATATATATATTGCAGTACTCTTTTCTACCAGCAGAGGGCGCAGCCTGCTTTTGGCTTCTCTTGTTGGATGTCAGCAGCTGAAGAAGAGCGGAGTACAGACACGATGGCATCAAGTGATTTTGGTTAACTGAGGTATTATCCCCCATTTTATTTTTAGAAAATCATAAAAAATAGTGATACAGCTTGAGTGTGAACCCAGTAAATAGTGGTACGTATCCCTAATAATAATCATCCAATTCCCAAAGCTAGAGTTAAAGGCTTTTGTTACCTTAAAGGTAACATATAATACAAAATCCTCTTCACCATGTTTTTCTAACTCTAACATGTGTCTCTAGTTTGTCTACAAACCCCCCAATGATGAGAAAAGTCCATCCTCTCCGACTTTCGCCTGCTCCACTTTCCAGAAAAGGTGTGCTCAAACAGGCCATTTTTCCCTTCATGACATCACAAAGGGCAGGAGCCCCTCCCCCAGGTGGGTGACACTCCCACAGCTAGGTGTTTGTTCTGCCCTCTGAGTCTGCCTTCTTACTGTAAACAATAGGACATGGAGCGAGAAAGCCAGAGACACCCAATCCTTTCTAGAGAGGGGGCGTGGTCAGACACAGCTCATTTACATTTAAAGGTACAGACACAGAAACAGTCTGTTCTGAGCAGGGCTGAAATAGAGGGGTTTATAGACATGATCAAATACAGGATCAGAGTGGATTTAGAACAAGAAACTTCACACACGTTTTGGGGAGCTCTAAGATTTATTTACACTGGTTGAAGAAGAGGAGGATATGTCACCTTTAACTTAAACACTTACATGAGGACAAAGAAGACAAACTTACTGGTTTGGTACGCGCAGCGTTTTGTACTCCCGACATCCACCCCAGCTTTCCCCCTGTAGCTGTAAACGTTGATTTTATTTACTCTTAAAAAAGTGTCTGTGTAATAGAGAGAAGAGAAATCTACCACTCATCAGATTAACTTCCATGACTGACAAGAGCAACAACATGTTTCTCCTCCGTCCTCACATGACAGGAAAATTAGAAGAGTGTCGAAAAAGTACTGACATCAAAGAACTCTGTTTTTCCCAAGGAGCAGCTTTTGAAAGCTTTGGGCTTCAGTTGTGGAAAAATATTTTTTTTGTGTTTGTTAGCCTTCAAGAGTCTGAACATCCATCTTTCTTCTCTTCTGACATTCAGACAAAAAAACCTTTCTGCAATCTGGAGCCGAAAGCAACCTTCTGTAAACAAATCAAGTTTCTCTGCTCGACACAACAGAGAATCAATTTGAAGATAGAAAGTTTCTAAGCACAAAACAAAAGTTTAATAGTTTATAGGCTCAGCTTCAGGGCTAAAGTGGACAATAGTACTGTGAAGTGCTGTGATCCTTTACTTCTTCCCTGGTCGTCTCACAAAGAAATCAGGCAGGTTTGGGGTTTCTTTTGCAGGGAAAAACTTTAATGGTTGTCATGGTGAACATGGTGATCTGTAGCGGCTGCTGAGAGATGCGGTTTGAAACATGAAAACAAACAGCAGAGAGATCACAGCCGTGTTGGACAGACTGCACAGAGGCCGCTCCAAACAAGAAGTTTGAAGAGACGGCAACAAACTGACTTTTCTGTTCATCACAATGCATCAGAAGTAGCTTACTGTACGTCATTAAAAAAAGAAACACCACTCAGTTTGGGGAGCCAAATACAGTATTACTGATCCAGTGCAAGAACCTAAAGTTAGTGTCACAGTTACAAATCAATTCTCATAAAGTCAGAGCTGTTTGTGTGTTATACTTCTAAACCCCAGATTGAGACGATTTGAGTTTCATTCAAACACCTTTGTGTTTTTCTCCCTCAAACGTCTTCATGTGAATGTTTCTTTCACCGTCCAATGCAAACCATATATTTCCAAATTTATATTTTTTATTTTTGAGCTTTTAGCTGCAAGTCTAAAGTGCCCAACTTTTTAAGATAAAAAAAAACAAAAAACACATTGGATCATATGATTCATGGAAAAAAAAGGAGAAAACATTTCACAGTATCAGGGATCGTCTGAAACCAGAGCAATAACACGTACGGACTCCTGAACTGAGTGGGGTTTCTGTGGCAGTGGAAACATAGCGACATATCCTTGGCAGAGTTTTCTAGAAGTATAGCAAACACAGTTGGCCGCACTGCATCGGTTTGTGTTAAGCAAAACATTTGTTTGAGGAAATTTCTGTAAAGAAATTTGCATGAAATGAAACGTTCCAAGACATGTTCTTCATTTTCAACACATTTTGCATAACTGCACAATCAGACAGAACCGATATCCCAGTTAGGACCATCATGCCCGCTCAGCTGTGTTTAAATAACGCAGCCTTGTTATCACCTTGCTGTCCCCGTCTTTGCATTCACTCCACACACAATATATAAAGTGCACAACCGTGATGAACTGTGTGTGTGACACAAAGCAGGTCAAGTCATTGTTGTGATGCGTCCATGAAATGACTTCCTCATTCTCAGTTAAATGTCAAAACGTCCACATTGACCTCTGAAGATTTACATGCTTTCGTTTACCTGGAAAGTTCAAAAACCCAAAACAAAAAGAATTATGAAGGGAAAAAAAAAACTAAAATCGTAAATACCTTTCCAATCACAGTGCAATCAATTCTGAGAAGATTCATTCATTTCATCCTCTACTCAGACTGTTTCCACTCCTCTTTGAAATCTGCTGAGAGAGGCTCTTTTTATTGGCCGTATCAGTGCTGCACTCTGCCTGTCCTCCAGCAGGGGGTGCCGTTACACTGTGCTGCATATGATGATGACTCAGTAGACAGAAGAGGACCTGTGTCTGAAAAGCTCCAGAGTGTGAGAACAAGAATGATACACACCAATCACTGACTAGTACGAGGCGTTTTTTGTTAACGTACACAGTTATGAGTTTGGATTCATTTGGACCACTGAGGGATTTTTATTTGTAGTTTCTAAACTGTGGGATATTTATTTGTAGTTTCTAAACTGAGGGATATTTATTTGTAGTTTCTAAATACTGTGGCATGTGATTTACTTTGTGAAGGACTTTGAAAGAGGAAGTGTGGAGCATGTAACAGAAATCCAGTTATGTTTATTTGAACACGGATGTTGTTAAACTTTATTAAAAAAAAAAATAATAATCTTCAGGTGTTATAGCGCTCCACACAGCGTTGGATATCCAAACACCAACTGGCTAGAAGGACGTCCTTACTATGAACATTTCCAAACTGAAGGTGATCCGCTTCTTCAATATGAAACATCGCTTCAGTTCTGCTAGAAAATATTTACAAAGGTTAATCACATTTCCTACGTGACACTGAATGCATCAGTTGCATTGAGGGCTAAAGCATTTGGCCAGCTAGCCTCTGGACTTAGCCGGCTAGCTCTACTTAAACGAATGCACTTTGTTCTGAAAAGATGAGGCTGAGTTTGTTTGTGTCCTCAGTCGATCCCTGGCTCCAGTGTTCAGTGCTTATTCTTACTCATGTGACTGTTTGACTTCGACTACAAACACACTATGTTGTTCTTTAAAGTTCTTCAAATCCTGCAAAGGGTAAGATGGTATTCTAGATGTTTCTTATTGTCAACAATTCCCATGATGTGCAAACCCAAAAAAGGTGTCTACTAACAATGAACATGTCAGGAAGCAGCACTGGAGGACATTTAATTTAACACTGAGGGGTCGACTTCTCTGCATCATAACTCAAATCTAACCAACAGGTGGCGCCTTCTGAAAAGCTGAGCAGCAGCAGCGTGCTCAAATAAAATTATTTCCTTCTACAGGTCCTAGTTGGGACCTCCCTTTACTTGTGAAATAAATTACTGTATATTTGGCTCTATTGTGACCAAAGAGACACACAGCTCTACTGGTTAATGCTACAACATGAGGCCCAAAGACAAAACTGCAGCCGCTCGGATGTGTTCAGAAGCCTAAAGAAATGGGAGCCTGGGTTTACCTCCGACAGTCTCACAGGATGTGATGTAGATGTAGACATGACTTGACTCTGCAGCCTGTTTTTTAACTCATTGAAGGTGGGAGATCACTAACCATTTTAAGTAAGAGTGAAGGTGATAGAACTGCTTGAAAGAGTGAGAATCACCTTCTTCTAATTATCTGACGCCTTTGAACCTCAAACACGAGAGGATCCTCCTTCAGCAGCGCAGCAATCACACGCGTCAAATCAAATGTTCCAGAGCAAAGGGCTTGACAGATGAACCTGGGAGATGTAACAGAAGGAGGAGAGTCCGGTCCAATTGGAACTCGATGGAAGCCTGCTCTCAGTGGACTTCACGGCGACTGTGGTCGATCATTGTAGACGACCAGGGTGAAAGTTAATGACCTGATGGGGGGGAGTTGGGGATGAACTAGAGTTCAACGTTTGTTCCACTTAATGTCTCATCCCCCCCCACCAACATGCTCTCTCATCCCCAGAATGAATCCCAGTGTCTCTTTTTTGGAGGCACAAGAGTTGGTGAGGCATCCATCGCAGTGTGACGAGAAGTATGACCTGTGTGTGTGTGTGTGTGTGTGTGTGTGTGTGTGTGTGTGTGTGTGTGTGTGTGTGGTGGGGAGTTAGTGTTACCATATGTGGGATTCACAGTGAGTCATTTTAATAACGCCCACTCCTCCACCTAGTCGGCGATAGTTCATTCCTCCGTACAACCTGGAGAGAGGAGATGAGGAAGAGACAAGAACAAACATTCAGAAACTTTAAAAACTTAAAGATGCATGTGGTGACGGATAGAATCAGAAGAACGATTTAACATCTTCACTTTCTCCAGCAGGAGCGGTGACGTGACAGAATGTAGACGTGAGATGGATGATATGTTTTCACTTTTGTTGCTGCTTCAGCCAATTTAAAACAAACTTACTTTATGCTTATTAACTATAATGATGTGCTCTATTAAAAGGAGAAGATCGGTCCTGTTGTTAATGACTCAAACTATCCGTAAGGATTTTTTTTTTTGTCTGATCTAAAGAAAGAGTTTATTGTTTTTCAGACAGGAAGTAGTTCTTCTCATAGTTATCCTGTCTGTGGTCGTTCTTTCTGCAGAGGGAAGTCACTGTTCGGCGTTCTCTAAGAAAGTATCAGAAGCCAAATATTCAACATAATGTAGTACCTTTAAGTCATCTGGCTTCTTCACTAACCCTGACATCACGTTTAACGGTCACAGGAAGCGGGTTATCTGGAGTGTTTATGTGCATTAGAGGTGCAGAAATGCAACATTTTCTCTCATCGATTACTCTTCCCATTGTTAAAGCGAGTACTTCAGTAATTGTTTTGTAATTCTTTTTTTTTCTGTGATTCTTTTCCCCCACAGGAGGCCCCGCCCCCAACTATGACACAATGCCGACTATATCTGATTAATTTGAATCTTTGGGATTTGTTAGTAAGATGCCTTTGTATTAACATTCAAATATGACATTTCTTACTTCAACAGACAACAAACCTCAAATAAAAATTCATACAGACGTGTTAGACCGTTTTAACACTTTATTATAATTAGAGCAGTGAGTGTGGCGAGCGGACATGCAGACATCAATGCACTCATCGCACGTTGAAGCTGTTTTGACAGCAACATTCTGTTAACAAAGACTACAGTCTGCAGTGTAGAGCACACTTTACTCTGGTAAATGAAGTTACAATAGAACAGGTGAATGATTTAAGTGTCTGTTTCATCTTTCTCCTCTGTGCGCAATGACACACTCGCTCAATCTCGCTCATCCGTCCACTATGAGCTATTTCTCCCTATAAGGTTGTTCCATTTTGTAGTTATTAAAAGAATAATCATCTAAAATTCCAAAATACAGGAAAACATCTAGTTATGCTGCTCTGTCCTGGATGATCAAACGTCATTGGCTTGGCGGAGTATAGCGGTAATCGCAAAGTGAAAGTCCTTCTTTTTCTGTGGACTAAAAAGACAATTTGAACTGAACTTTCGTAGATCATGTTGCATATTTCGTTTGTTTGGGACTTTTTGTTCATTGTGAATTCATAGGGGGGTTAATTAAAGGGATATTTTTGTTAGGGTAGCAGCGTACGGATCAACAACGGACGCGTTTCAGCACAGAGCCTTTATCAGATCACAGATCCTTTTTTTCTGTTTTGAATTAGGCCTATTCTAGAACCCACAATGCAACAAAAAACATTTACAAAAATGTGAACTACTAAACAATTATCGATTACAATTTTTTTGTAACCGATTATTATTTAATGAACGGGTATCCGAGTACTCGTTTGCACCCCTAATGTGCATGTTAACATAACAGGGGCGATGTTAGCTTCATACAACCCGTCACCATCACAGAGAGTCTGCCTGCTGGTGGTCATATTAAACAAATCCAGCAAACTCTGATATTCAAAAATATGAAGCAGTCAAACAGAATTCAGACTAAAATCGACACAGTTGCGATGAACTTTTGTTCCCTTAAATTCATTTGTTATGTTGATTTTTCTTGAGGCATGTATGATGGTTTAAGACGTAACATTTCAGCTGCAGCCCAAACGATAACTAACTGAACGGTATGTAACATTTTACAAATACTTTTTTTGGGAGGTAGTTGTGGGGGGAGAGAGAGTGGGGAATGACATGCTGGAATGGAGTCGGATTAAAACCCAGGCCGAGGTATCTGCCTTTGTACATGAGGTGGCATACTAACCACCGGCACCCCATATTATTAATTTATACTTCTAATTTGACATCAGTCTCTGTTGAAGCATGATGTCAGTTTTTCATACTTGATCATGACTCTCTCTCTCTCTCTCCTTTTCTCCATCAACTCTCAGAGCTCTGTGACAAAGACATCTGATTGGTCAAAGGATGAGCTCAAACATCCCAAACATAATCATGAGCAGGTTAGGTGTTCAACATCCGTTACCATGGAGATCTTCCCCTGGTAAGAAGTGATTCCCCCCCTCCCCCCTCGTAGCACTGAAAACCCACGGTTAACCCTGAAGTTACCACGACAACCGAGAGTCCAGCTTTGTAGTTTCTACCCCCCGGGGAGTTTACCTAACTGTTGTTGACAGGAAGCGGACTAACCCTTCAGCTGCTGCAGCAACAAGTAAAGTTCCTGTTCTGTACCTTCTGAACATCATTAAATGTGAGAAGTGAGACAGCTCTTGAACGTTGTAGTCTGTTTATAGAGATCCGGTGTATGAGAGACATTTCCAGGTCAAAGGCCTGGATGATGTGGGATTAGACTGAACATCCCTTAAGTCTTTCTGACTGAGTCTTAACTCACACAAGTTTCTGTGTTGATGCCATAAAAACAACACAAAAAGAACAAGTGAAACTTTCATGAACACATCATGACATCACAGGTTCACTCACCTCCATGTGTTGGCGTCAGGGTCGTACACTTCTATAGTTTTGAGATACGTTGTTCCATCAAATCCTCCCACTGCCATCAGCTGACCATTCACCACAGCCAGGCCCACCTGCGCGCACACACACACACACACACCGATTAATCTGCCATCTGATAATATCAGTCGACTATTTAACACCAAATATTTCAGGAACCTTTTTATTGATTCAAGCTGTCTTGCTAGTCATAAACACAAACTCACCCCACTCCGTCTGGACGTCATGGCCACGACAGGAGACCACTGGTTGGTCCTGGGGTTGTATCGCTCTGCGCTGCTGAGCTCTGTGGTGTCGTCTCTCCCTCCCACAGAGTAAATCATGTCCTGGTAGACTGCACAGCCGAGGTGCTTCCTCCTGGTTCCCATGGGAGACACCGTGTGCCAGCGGTTCTCTTGAGGGTTGTAGCGTTCCACTGAGGAGGAAAAAAAAAACAAAGACGATGAACGAAGCACTCAATGATCTACCAAGATGATTTCTCTCATTTATCAGCGTCATTCTTCTCCACTTCTGGAATACAGATGATAAAGTGTTTATCACAATCGTCTGTGTCACACCTGTGTTTAATGGTGACGTCCCATCAGACCCTCCTACGGCGTACAGGAAACCCCCCAGCACAGCCACAGCCACGCCCAGTCTCCTGGTGCTCATGGAGGCCACACGGGTCCATTTGTTCTCCTTAGGGTCATATCTGCAGCAGGAGAAGAGCAGCCATTTGATTTGTTTGTTTACATTTCATAAGGTTACCAATAAAAGGATCATGGAATAGAATAGAATAGAAAAGAATAGAATTACTTTATTGATCCCAAACTGGGAAATTGTGGCGTTACAGCAGCATGTTATCAAAGCAAATAAAACAATATAAGAATAGATACATAGTAAATAAGCACTTCAAATATAAAAAATAAGAATAAGAAGAGATTTATACATCAAGGATTTAAATTAACATTCTTACTGGTTTAAAAAAAAAAGAATAATTAAATACAGCATTTATTCAGGCTTGTCAACTGAATGTAAAAATACTTGCTGGAGGTAAGAGATGTAAATTTGCAAAAACAGTGATGACAGTGGTAAATGTGCAATAGAGGGTTGTCCAGAGCTGTGCAAATTTGTTTCCTAGGATGTTGAAGGGGTGACCCTCCCAACTCTGTCTCTAATTGGCTAGTGTGCACTGACTAAATAAGCAAGAGCGGTGTTAAAAGTCACTGTTTTTAACGGAGGCAAATCATCCTTTGGTGGACGGGCCAAGAAACATTTTGGAAAAAAATGAAGAGTATAGCCACTTCTTCAGGCACCACTACACCACTGCTTATGAGTGATTAGTGATTGTTCAAATACACAAACACAGAAGTCTAAGACATATTGAAATAATATGAGTAAACAAGCTGCAGACTTCATATGGTTACATAAAAAACTGTAGTTATAGACACAAGACAACAGATACCTTTCTACAATATTGAGACAGGAAACCCCGTCTTGTCCGCCGACAGCGTACAGATAACCTCCGAGGACAGCCACTCCCACGCTGGTGCGACACGTGCTTGTGGGGGCCACATCGCTGCTCCACTGATTGGTCTTAGGATCGTATCTGCACAGGAGGCAAGAAAAAGGTAACGTTAAACTACAACTTTACCCACAGACCTTTTTTTAGGTTCTTTCTTTAAACATAAATCAGAGATCAGTGTCTCACCTCTCCACAGAGTTGAGGTAGGACGAGCCGTCGTGACCTCCCACAGCGTACAGCAGGTCATCCAGAACACTGACGCCGACTCCACACCGCCGCTTACTCATCGAGGCAACCATCCGCCACTCGTTGGTTTGAGGATCGTAACGCTCCACGCTTGAAATGGCGTCCCCGCTGCACCAACCACCAACTACAGGACGAGTAAGACATGAGAGAAGAGAACATGTCATCAGAGGAGTACAACAATCATCAGAGAGAGGTTTCATTCAGAATGAAAAGCTTTTTCCCCAATCATGCTGGAAGAGGTTTCTGCATTCTTCTGAACGCTGATTTGTTGCTCTTCCATGGCGAGTGCGTCTCAGAATAGCAGAGCACTGAAGAAGCACAGTGGGATTTCCTGGCACAACTTCACAAACTACCAAGAGGTCACAAAGCTCCAGCAACACTTGCAGTATGAAGATTACATTTATTTACAAATTAGACCGGGAGCGTTTCGGCTGGTGGCTTCTTGAATCCAGATTTGTCAGAAAGCACACTCCTCTGGTTTCTTTTAACATCAAGAGGTACTGACCGGCGAACAGAACTTCTCCACAGCGGATGGGTTTCCTTGGCCGAGTTCTGGGTCCCTGCATCAACGGCCTCTCCTGTGGCAGCAGCAGGTAATTCTTTGCTTCATCCACCAGGTCTCTAAAACAGAAAATATGTGAAGTTAAATCATCATCATCCTCACTTTAAAAACAGGACATAGCGCTCCTCTTTATATTGAAGTCGTCACGATGTGAACATTTTGAACTTGGATACGTTGCAAGTGAAAATCAAACAACATCGACACCCGTTTCATTACCATGGCAACAGGAACAGACCTCCTGGACACCCAACCTGATTTTTCTGATTTGCAGGTTGTAAGGGTCACCAAAAATAACACAGACTGATAAAAGCAAGGAAAGGCTAAATTAATATGATTGGCCTAAAAATAATGTACACCCACAATAGAAACATTTCCTCTGTATAATATCAAAAAGAAGAAGAGTCTGCAGTGACTCTTTGAATGTTTTGTTCACGTTCGGGATGATTTATGGACGTCTGGGTTTGTAAAGTGATGTGAAGCTCACGGTTAACAGTCCTGCTGACATCGCTGTCTTTCTCCTCTGGTCTGTATTTGTGTTCAACAGACAGTAACGCACCTTAATGGGATGACATAAGGACATAATGGCAGGAACTCAGTCTGCAGGGACATCTGATCCCTTTAGATCACAGATTTGCGTTGAACATTGCTGCTCTCTCTCTAAAACACGACTGTATTTTTTTTTTCTTATATAACGTCGGTACAAAATCGTTTTGCAGCAAGGGGTAATGAACAGTATCAACAGTTAGACAACCTTAGGCCTCGTGTCCACCTAGCGTCAACTGCACCTGAAAGACTACTGAAAGATTGTCAACTTTCAACTCAAAAACGACAGAGCGCTTGTAAAAAAAAAAAAAGACGCTGGGCCCTGAGCTTTTCATCAAGGCGACCGCTTTCTGCTACTTATTGAAAACAACTGAATAAAGACAAGCATTTCCCCACAGAGAACATTCCAACACACCTGCACTCCTCGTCACTCTTAATGAGCGGATCCGACCCGACGGTGCCCACCAGGAACTTCGGGCTGAGTAGCGGCAGGCGGACATGCTGCAGGACCTAAAGAGCACAGGAAATTCACATCAGTCCTAAAGCATTCCTCTGCTACAACTGAAGTCTAATGACTGTGTTTACGTCGATAACCATCCAGACAACAGCAGAACCAGTGTTTTTCTTCAGTCACAAACCTGGGGCAGCTGCGGTCGCCGTTCCTGGATGCTGTATTTGACCCATGCCATCACGGCGTTGAAAACCTGCTCCTCGCTCCGCACGTTGAGCTCGTCGCTGGAAATGATGTCAATCAACTGGTTGGCAGGCAGCAGCATAAACTCTTCACTTTCCATGACCTGAGACAGAAGAGCAGAGCGGTCAGTCAGACGTTCTGCTGCATAGAGAACCGTCTTTCTCTCCTCCGTTCACACAGCATCTGCTAACACATCCTACACTTTGTCAAGTACACAACACGACTCTTTACATATGAGAGGAACGAGAGGATTGGTTTAGATTATAATGAATATCAAGAGAATTCTGTTTAGTTTGAAACACGCGTATATAAAGCAGGATGACATACAGGTAAGACTGACTGTGAAAGACATTGTCAATATTCAGTAGTAACACTTGTGTTTCTCCTGCTGCCATCCCAGAGGCTCGAGTGACACCAAATCACTGTGGCTGCATTCACACTGCAAGACTTCATGCTCAGTCAAAAAAAATGTTCACAGATTTTTTTCATTCTACTTTTCACCAGTCATGGTCCTGAACTTATCTGCAGACGCAAAAGACCAACAGCAAAGAGGGTCGCCTGCAGACCTGATCTACAACCTCCTGCATCCTTTACAGGGTGATCCACCCCCCTAACTTCTTACTTTGGTAGATCACCATGGTAACTGATGCATAGAGCGTGCTCGGCAGCAGTTCTGTTCAGGATAATGCCCAAAATAAGAAAATCAACTTTAATGAAACTCTGTTAACCAATCAGATCTCTGAGCTCTGTGAACTGATCGTGAGAGGAGGAGGGAGAAAGACCGAGGAACATGCCGTGTACCCGTTATTATTATTCATTTAAAATGTTTGATTATTAAATATATTATTAATGCTTTACAGTAATCATCCTACAACAGAGACTCAACAAAGCTCTAAAGCCTTCTCCTTTGATAAGATACCTTTAAGTTTACTTACTGCTTCAATTACGTTGTCATATTAACTTTATAAGTATAGCATCAGAGCTGCAGCTGAAATAAGACATCTTAAACATTCAGACATGCCACATAAGGTCATTTATTTAAGGTGAGAAACGTAGGTTATTATAATCAGATCTGTTGTCTCTGAGTTGTGTGAATTTGATCGTAGCCTACATTCATTGTGAATTCACTGTCAGACATTTTTCTCAGCTCTTCTTGCGTTCTTTGCTGCAGCTGTTTTTATTTTTTATAGTAATAATCCAAACTTGAATAGTCTTTAGTTATTTTCATAGAAAGCTGCCTTGTTCTCGCTCTCATACAGAATGTGATGATGAGACAGTTTTCCTGTTTCCTAACATGTATTTCCCGCCTCATCTTCGTATTCATTTGTCAACAAACCGCCTGGGCTTTTCCCGTGTTTACAAACCCCTGTGAACCAGACACCAACAACTGTCTTATACCGCTTTCACACTTGCAGAAATCTCCTGACAAACTCCTGATATTACCCGGAGGAGCTGTATACATGAACGCAAACAGCAACATTTTTCACTCGGACTTCACCCGGAGTTTCTCCATCCAGACCTTGAGTACTTCTTCTGCATTAAGTCAGAGTGAGCTGATGTGAGAACGCAGCAGGACACTATCAAGAGAGTTGACCTCCAGCCAGTTAGAAGGGATGGTGCTGTTTATATCCTGTGACTGCTACACACTACAAACTATGTGCATGCGACCGTTACGATCTCTGTGCACGTAATTAAACGGCTGCATTATGTTTTCTGCTCTCCAGTACGCTCTTCTCCAGACATTTGATAGTGTTGTTCTGTTTAACTACACATAGAATTCATATAAAACACAAATATTCTCATTATAGCATCGTATAGCCGCATTCTTTTTACATCTTGCCTCAGGAGACCCCCCCGTCTGACAGGTTTAGTCTCCTGCTGTGAGGTGAATGTGTGAGCAGCCAGGTCAAGAGGAGTTCAGGAGGCTTTAAAAAAGTGCAGGTAAACAATGAAGGAGGAAGACTGAGCGTGTGACTCCTGCTGATGACATCATGTAGTCAGTGAACACACACACCAGTTGATTCCACATGCTTTCTTAATAAATCTGTTGTTCAGATACAATTAATCTATTGTATAGTCATCCTGCAGTAATCTAAACTTGAGATTTCAGAGCTCCCTCCATGTACATAAATGTAACTTGTTGTTTTGGATCCGTGCCGTTACCTCTTGAAAATTGTGCTGGGTGAACTTGTCTGCAATGCGGAGCAGCTCACGGCAGGAGTGCGTGTCTGCGAAGGCCCTGATGCCCAGACAGTTGGATGGATCCAGCTGTCTCTTGAGGAACTCGCAGCAGGCCTCCTGGATCTCAGCCAGCTGCAGGAGGCAGGCGGCAGGGAGCAGAGTCTGGACGTTTCCCTCCTCTACAGTCACCTGGAAAAATCAGAGGCTCATCATTTGTAGTCAAAAGCCATAAAGCTAGAGACCGGGAGCACTCGAGCAAGAACTGTTATTTTTGCAGCGGCTCCAATTCAAGCCATGACCCCGCTGCGGCTCAGTCTCTGCATGTCTCCTCTCACACACACATTCAGGTTTAGCTGCTCTGGTCAGACAAACAGCTGCACAACATTGTTTTTATTATACAGACCTTTCTTTACTTTGTTGCTGGATTAGATTTGAAAAAAAACAGATGAACTTATGATTCAGTTTAAAACAAACTTGAGCACAACAAACTTGAAAACTGACCAAAAAAATGTAACAAGAAATTAAACCTTTAAACTCTGATTTAAACTGTGGTTCAGTTTTAACATTATAAATTACACTTGAGAGGAGGTTTAAAGGCAGGGATGGTAATTTTCGAAAACTAGCATGATTTTGAAAGTAGCATTCCCTCAGTGCTCCGTCTGCACCCCCCCTCCCCTCTGTGCTCCCTCAAAAGCCACGCCCCCTCACTTACATGCACAAGCCCCATTGGTCCAGAAGAGGACCTCAGCTCATGCTTTGAGTGTGGGCTCGTGCATGCATGGTGTAGAGAACTATCAGGGAGACAGGGAGGCGTGTGATTGGTTCATCAGATTGGTATCTCATGGCAGACATTGGTCAAAGTTTTTACAGACTTACAAACTGATACAGATGATGGATTTTCTTTGTTCCTTTTTCAGAGAACATGACTTATTATTTCTGTCAGGACCTAAAGACAATTTACACCAAAATCTTAAAAAGTGGATCTGGAGAACTTTACCAACCCTGCCTTTAATTCAAGGTTGGCTTGAATTTCTCTGAAGCTTTAAGGTTAAAAAATAAAACTAAACAGGAAAACAAGCAGAAAAAGAATTGCAGCCAAACTTCACTGCTACAAGTTCCTGTGGTGCTGTGATTATTGTGAAACCTAGATATGTGCTGCTGCTCTTACCTGTGAGGTGTAGGCAAAGTCGATGAGCAGCTCCATGGCTCTCTCATCGATGTCACGGATAACCACTTCAGTCTGCCGGCTCTCTGCCAGCTCTCCGGTGAACATCGCTCTGAAGATGAACATGGAGAGATATCGTTTCACTGAAAGTACTTTAATATAAAACATCTCCCCGTCACAGTTCAGATGCTAACAATGCTCAGCGTCTTTGTACCTGAAGTACGGGCTGCACGCAGAGAGGATCACGCGATGGGCGTAAATCTTCTTGGCGCCGACCACCAGCACCACGTCACAGAGCTCACGGTGTTTTCTCAGCAGGTTGATCACCTCCAGGGTCTGCCGGGGGTGTTTGTCCGAGACGTAGGGCATGCGTGCAGGCTGGGGGACCCCTTCAGGAAGCTTGTTGGGGTCCCCCAGAGTGCAGCGGCTGGTGATGTCCATTCCAGTGGCGTCTTGGCGTGCGCTGGTGGCCCTAAACGTCAAGCAGATGAGCAGTGATAAAGTGAGTGATTATGTCCTTTATACTTGTCTTAATCCAAATGTTGTTGTTTTTGTAACCAGGGGAGTTAACATGATGATGTAAGTTTTATAATAAGAAGCATTATTAATCGAGGCTTTAAGACGCACAGTATGTAAATTTCACCACCAGGGGGCTCTCAATCAAAACAATAAGGTGGCAAGGAATCATGGGAGTGATTCTCCTGCTACTCCACCCCCCTATGTGACCGGTGCACGGTGCATAAGACCGCTATGATCTCAGTGCACGTAGACATGCAGGACAGGAAGCCACAGGCCGGACCAGAACCTGCACCGCCACACGGGGGTGCGTGCACCAACCAACAGGTAATCGAGGCACCTTTGAGATTGTATTGAAGGTTTAAATTAGAGTCACATGAAGATGAAGGCATTTGTTTAAAAAGAGAGTGTGTTTTTTTACTGTTATGATATTTATGAGTAACCCTCCAAAATGCCCCTCAAAATCTTTGAGTCCAGGTAGTGCATGTTCATTTACATTTTTAGCTATCGTAGACTTGTCAGTTTATTTTAAATACAACGGTAGGTTTTACCAAATATTATTCTAACTTTGATAAGATGACAGTAAAAATTTAATTGATAAACACTTTAATTCCACAGCACCAAAAATAGAAGTCCTAGGAACCAAATACTGGGTCATTTCTTGTTTTCAAACTCCTGCACACTGTCTCAATGGCACAAACACATGTGCAGGAGTTCACCTGCAATCTTTTGATGGATTAATTCCTCCATTCATTCTTCTGTTCTGGCGGCAGTAGCTCGGGCTGTAGGGACTTGGGTTGCTGGTTCAAGTCCCTCTACGGACCAAAGTATAGAAATAGGCCTCGTCGCTAGAGAGGTGCCACTTCCTGAATACTGCTATGGTGCTCTCGAGTAAGGCCCACAGGCGCACAGCCCTTCCCTCTGACATCTCTCCATTAGTGCATGTCCATAGGTTTGTGTTTGTGTATTCCTGGCCTACATGTGTGTGTGTTGCGTGTCAAATAACTGAGTGAAATAAATATATATTTTTCCCTTGGGGATTTTATAAAGTTTATCTTGTTCTTCTTCCAACGCAGCTTTCTTATAATATGTCTTCTTTTTAAGCTTTGTTGCTTTTTTGATGCTATCGATGTTTAAAGTAATATAGATTGTATAATTTTTAAAAATGCTTTATCGAAAAAGTATCTAAGAATCAAACATTTTGACAGCGTTAGAGAATACAGTGTAGCTGTGAATTGAAAAGCGCCCTCACCATTGCTGTACATACACCTGAGTTTTGGTCTCAGTCTGTTGGTATCTAATGAGCCAAAAACATTTTTAGCTGGTCAATGGACTTGAGCTTGTATATTTCTTTTCTAGTCTTCTGATTAGTCAAAGTGCTTTTACACCTCAGGTCACACCTACACATTCACACACTGATGGTAGAGGCTGCTGAGTAAAGAGACCATCAGAAGTAACTAATCCCATTCATACAAATTCATACACCACCAACAAGGAAGCAGCAGGAGCAACTTGGGGTTAGATGTCTTGCCCAACGACACATTGGACAAGTAGCTTCAGGAGCTGGGGATCGAACTTATCTACACCCCTCGCTTCACTCAGCGTACATCGTGTTGTGGACATGGGGTCTATTCAGATTATGTTTTCAGTACTAAACAAATTATCTGCCTTCTGGACAAATTTAACACAACATGTATCCTCACCAAGTGAGACAAATAAAATATGCAGTTTCTTTACACAAACATAACAAACTGTTACCAATAAACCCAAACCAACACAAAATACTGCCGTTTGATAAATGTGTTGTTGTTTTTTTAAACACATAATCTAGCTAAATTTGTGTGTTAAAAGTTTTAGAATAATTCAGTGACTAAAATCTCTTCAACCCCCTTTGTAAGGCAACGTACTCACCCACACAGAGTAAGTGTCCGCCTACAGGTGGTCGTGATCTTTAAAGGAACTCCACCTGTTTCACACATGAAGTTTACTCCTCACTGTTCAGCCTGAGACTAGTGCCGGATAATGAGCTTTCTATAACGTGAAATATATAATCCTGATTACATCATCGGGGTAATCCGAGTTTGGATCTGAGAGTTTAAACTTTTAACTCCTGCTTTGCAAACTGGTTTTGTTCGGCTCCAAAAAATGGGGATTTACAGTCGATGGATTTCTAAGAGGCTGTTTTTATTTCTATGATGGATACTACAGGACTCAGCCTTTCAAGTGCAAATCGACGCTCAGTGTGACCTTACAAGCCCAAAGCTTTGTTTCCCCTTCTACACATAAACACCTGAAAATCTTCATCGTAGAAGGAGGTTTACAAAAGGTGAGTTTTCAGTGATGCAGTTTGTGTACAAAAGACCTAAACACACTACATTTTCAAAATGTACATAAACAAAGTCCTCTATAGGTTGATAACTTAACGTACCTGCGCATTGGCTTTGCGTCCATGCACTGAAGATCAATGTTTGTTCCAACACCTTCAGGTCAACCTAGGAAGACGACAAAAGAGAAATCAGACTCACTTTGAATTCTTTTGGAGCCGTGTTCACACCGGCTGAGTCTCTTCCTGTTGTACATTTATTTCCTCACACAACAGAAAACTAAATTGTATACATCACTGTCCTCACAGGGATATTTCTCTTGAACCTTTCTTCACATTCTGTGTTCACAGCGCTGACTAGAAGGCTTCATCCTCCAGTCAGGCCCCTCATTAGGCGTGAGCGCTGTGAGTGACGGCGGCAGCACCTCCAGTTGCTCCGTAGCACCAAGTTGTTTAAACCTTCTTTATTGCTATTTCTGCTACCTTCATGCAGGAGTAAGGTGTTTTTAATATATATAATGGATATGACTGACTTTGAAAAGAAACCAAGTGCTTTTTCTCTTGTTTATTCGAGAGAAGCACCGTTGGCTCTTTGTATATAACTTGTGTGTTTTTTATATCTGTGTGCTGCTGGAATCTGAATTTCCTGAAGGAACCTTCCCAAGGGATTAATAAAGTTCCTATCTATCTATCTGTTCCACTATCGTTCAAATGTGATCTGAAGTCTCTCTTCAGACTGTGCTCAGATTTGTGTTTGTCTCCACTGAATGAGCAGCTTATAAGAGTGACACACCTGTAACATTCTTATGATCGCCTTACAATGAACCCTGCCTTTGCAAAAGGTCATGATAAAAAGTTGTTGTCAAACAGGTGCTGCTTTACGACGCGATGGTTGTTGTAGCAGATTTCTGTTGCATAACCACTCAAATACAAAGCACCACAATAAAAACAACAAAAATTACAATAGGTGAATACACTTCACTGATACCATTTGATCAATCCATTAACTATGCCGCTTTTTACCGGGGGCACGGGGGGACTGGAGCCCGATCTCAGCTGTCATTGAGGGAAAGGCGGGGTTACACCCTGGATTGGTCGCCTGTCAATCACAGCGCTGACATACAGAAACAGACAACCAACCACACTCACACCTACAGGCAATTTAGGGCACACTCACACTAGGCCATCTGTACCGTGCTTGCTCTGATCCGGGCTCAAGCACGCTACACTTCCTTGGCCCTGGCACGCTTGGAAGAGGTGTGCTTCGCCACGGCAAAGTTCATGCTCAAGAGACAGTCTTCATTATGGAGAAACCCCAGAGAGTTATCAAGAGAGAGACTGTTATGGCTGAATCTGAACAAAATGACTCTAAATAAGCCACTCAGTCCGCCCAGTAGCCGTCATGTTTTCTTCTTTTTATCATATAGAAGGAGCTGTTCCATCTTGTGTGAAGTTTAGTTTTTTATGATAGGACAGCTAAAGAGAGACATGAAGTGTTTGGAGAAGAGAACAAGGGACGACATGCAGCAAAGGGCCAAGGTCGGATTCGAACCCACAGACTTTCAGACAAGGACTATAGCCTCTGTAAATTGGCGCGTGACATAACCGCTAGGCTATCCGGCGTCCGTTGTCTTGCACTCCTTGCAGTTCAGTCTCAATGTCTTCAAAGCAAGACTGTGAAAGTTGCAAGTGCCTAACAATCATTCTTGATTGTTGCCGTGGATCTGCACTTTCAAGTCAATGTCTGATTATACATAAATTACATCAACACTGGATACCGACATCTTATTCACTGTTGTTGTTGTTGTTCTGTTTATCTCTCTCCTCCTTGTCCATGCATCTCCCTCCAGCTAGTCCGAGACGAAGTCAGTCCCTCTAGATAGTAACTGTCCTATCTAGCTTAGTGCTCATGATGGATTAATGTTGGGTCATTGTAGATAATACAATACAGAGTAATGTATTTTACCTGCTCTTTTTGTAAAGAGTCTTGAGGTAACATTTGTTATAAACGCTAGACAAAGAGCTATACAAATAAAGATTGATTGAATGATTGATGAAATCCCACAAGCTCCCCAAAAGTAGCATTTATATGATTACAGTGAAAGTGTAGAGCTGTGATTCCCTTTAATGTAAAACACTCAGGAAATACACATCTGTGTCTGTGGTTGTTGAATTTAACGATGTTCAGAGAATGAAATAATTTCTTATAAAAGACTTATGGTGCTTAAACCGTTGTTTACATTATTATTGCACATTAATCACTTAAATAGTTTGTAGTGTTGGTAAGCAGCAGTGACACTTCAGATAACACTTAAAGTCGTCACCTTATCGCAGATCAGGATTACTAATTAGTGTGAGGACACGCAATCAGCCAGACATTAGCTTTGTAGAATAGAATAGAATAGAATTACTTGATTGATCCCAAACTGGGAAATTGTGGCGTTATAGCAGCAGGTTGTCCAAACACACAATATGAGTAAAAAACACAGTATAATATTAAATACAAAGTAAATAAGTACTAAAAATATCAAAAGTAAGAATGTGAATATATACAACCAGGATTTAACTAAGCATTACTAGTCTTAAATATGAAGATTAAATATGAAAGATTAAATTTCAATGTGCAAAAACAGAGTCGTAGGACAGTATTGACATAAGTTAAAGTGCATGAGTGTGTCAGAGTATTATCACACTATCACTTTAAATAACGTTAACCCAGTGATTCATATACATCAGCCTGTATTCTTCGCTGATGTTAAACTAAATTAATAAAAGGTGAAATGTTTGTTATGTCCAGTTTCAGTAGCTAGAAGGAGGCTAGCCTGTTAGCTTGTCGCAATTACTGATGTTATGGTAAGAGTTACGTCCCAGTTAGACTAAAGTATATTCATAGGACAAAGAAGTATTAGTTTTAACAGGAGACAGGTGTACTTTAAGGAAAATGATGCACTTACGCAGGGAAATGTAGTATCTAAGAGAGCTAACAAGTTGTGATGTGTGGGGACGCTATGTGCTAGCCCCGGTGCTATGAATCCACAGAAGAAAAACACCAAATATAAACATTCAACTAACCCGACAGGATAAAATACAAATACTTTTGACGAAAATAAATACAGTCCTAAGCAGAAAAGCTATGTTTTTACCTTAATTTTCCATCCCAGCGACGCAGAAGTCCCCCGGGTTGCTAATGTTTACAATTTTAATACCTTCAGGATGAACGCTGCTGGTTTTCTTCACTCGGAATGTTATGCGCATGCCAAATGCCAAGCGCAACTTCCGTTAGTCTTTTCAAAATAAAAGTATTATATTACGTCATTCTTGAGCACGACAAGACAACGATAAAATGGACTTCTCGTGTCACCAATAAAATTAAAGAAGTTGCTTTTAAAATCATGCATTTCATTTATCCAGTGAATCGGGTAATTGTAAGATTGCGGAGATGTTGTGAAGTTGTGTTTTCTGTAAATAAATTATCTTAAAAGTATCTGTTTACTTATTTTATATGTCTAACTGTTTGCACATTTTGGTTAAAGGTAGAGTATTTTCTTTAAAGCACAAACTGGCTTAACTTTTAAGTTTAAGGAAAAATATATAATTATTTTCAACAATAAGAGTGGAACGGACTATTAAATGTTAATCTTAAAACTATTCATTTTTTATGGCAAATATTTCATCCACAAATGTAAATGTGATCAAAAATGAGCTCAAATACAGCAATGCAAAATATAAATGAATCACTACATAGATTATAATATTACTTTATTCGTTCACAGTGTGGAAAAGACAACATTGAAGCACAGCAAGAAACGAGAAGAGCGCCTGGAGTCCTCGACAACATCACTGTCAACATGTCAATTTAAAACAATTTAACATCATTTAGTTTAATAATAAACCATAATTTTAAGCCAGTAATTTCATAAAGTTAAAGGTTTAAAACAGTAATTTCATAAAACATATATTGATAACATGGACTGAAAGACAGGAAAGCAGAGAAACACTGGACATCTGTGAAAGCTTAAATATGTCCCTTTAGTTCTGTTGTTATACCCTGTGTTTATAGTTGTATAAAGTCTGTTTAGTTTCTTGTCTTGATGGTTTGTTTGTCTTTGTCTGTCCTTTGTGGTATTCTGTTTTAGTGCTTTCACTTTATCCCAATAATACAAATGAATAAAAGAGAAAAGGACTTTTTGTTTTCAATGTAATATACTGTAACTTTGCAATTTTGGTCGGCTTTGAATTCTTATATTTTTACGTCGGCTAACATTCACACAGTTTTTTCCCTTAAAAATATAATCTGCTATCATGACAACAAAATCAACAAAGTCTAAGTTATGTAGTTTATTTTAATTATTCGGGAAAAATGTAATTCACAAGGACGAGTGTTTAGGCTCCCAACCGTCCTTTCCTCTTTTCAGGGTTGTATTTAAGTCACTTCATAACTCCCGGGCTCTGATAGAGAATGGAAAGATAAAATGTTTTAGAAAACTAAAAAAACTATATTCGGTGAACACGTTGAAGTTCAATTAATTATACGTTTTTATTTTGTATAGATTCTAACACATTATTAGAGATATTATATATATTTGTACAACTTTAGATATATATTTAATAATTTATTTTCTTTATTTTTGTTTTATATTTATTTTATCATTTCTATTTTATTTCCTCCTTCATGCATGTGACACATTTCTATTTTGATTTGTCGAACAGCTCTTCTTTATTGTTGTATTATTGTTTGTTTGACATAAAGTGTAAATTGGGCATTGTTAAATCAAGTTGTTTTTTTTAAAGGGACTTTTTGTAAAGTGATGTTGAAGTTATTTATCCAGCATACAGGATGAAAATGACTGAAATTATTAAGTTAAAGTCTGAAGAAACCTTCCCTCATTTTAACTTTCCTATATTCAATCATACGTTTTCATAGAATAGACCGTAGATTTATTTACAGTCGAAATAAAAAAAATCACCTCGTGTGACACCTACCCCACGAGAGCATTTATAAAAACCAACAAGGTGAATGTAAACAACTGTGGCTTAAGAATCAGGCTGTGTTAACTTGTCACTGTGCAGCTTTATTCTGCCCTCACACACTGCACGTAACAACAATGCACTCTATCAGGTACGGTGGCTGAGGAGGATCATACAGTGCAAATTCGCACTTCACTATAGCGCTTCTAGCGCTGTAACGTTACATTACATCTCCCTTTCTTGAAATAGAGACATTCTATAAACAATGTGCAATAATGCAACGGAAATACAATATATGAAACTATACAAATAATATTAGCTTACTTAAGTTTCATTACTCAAAATAAACTATCAACTCTTCGCAAAATTAAACAGTATAAAAGCATCTTGTGTGCAAACTTAGATTATGAACTAGTAAATAAATCGTGCTGATAAACTCTCAGTTATCTTTGAATAAACAGTCACAAATCCAGTCTTTGAGGGGGTTTCACTACTCTGCCACTCTTTGTGGTATATGGCAGCATCTGGCCTGAGTCAGGGGGTTTCTCAGGAAGTGGAACCATCACAATGTCTGCGGTGGGGAGAAACATCTCCTGATCAGGCGCAGCCTCATCTGGCTCCGCCCAAGGCTCATCACTTGGGAAGTGACGTGACTGATTTGCAACCGATGTGCTTCTGCGAAGATGCTGGCTGTTGCGGCGAAACTCTTTTCCGCCACAGTCCACAATGTAGGACCTCGGCGCAGTGTGTTTTTGAATAACAACTGCTGGGGACCAGTTTGGGTTACCAGGATATGGTTGCATTCTGACCTCTTCACCTGGCGTTAGTGGAAGGCGATGCTTAGATGCCCTGCTGTTGTCATAGTAGAATTTCTGGGAAGCTTTACACCTGTCCAACTGATGTTTTACTTTGCGAGGGTCGTAAGCTCTTGGCATAAGCAGTTGCTGAGCTGAGGGTAGTTTGTTTCTGGGTCTCCTGCCCATTAACAGCTGTGCAGGGGACAGACCCACAGACTCGAGTGGGGTGGTTCTGTAGTCAAGCAGTGCAAGATATTTATCCGAAGCTTTGTGCCACAGTCTTTTGATTGTTTGTACTGCTCGCTCTGCCTCACCGTTGAAATGAGGAGTGTGAGGTGATGATGCGCGTTGAGAAATGCCATAGCTTTCGCATAAGTCTCTGAACTCTTCTGCAGCATACTGTGGGCCGTTGACAGTACGTAGGACGGTGGGGATTCCATGTCTGCTGAACTGAATTTTTAGCGTTTCAATAACAGTGCGACAACGCTGGTCTTTAAGCTCATCTACTTCAATGAACTTTGAATAGTAGTCCACTAACGCTACATAGTGTTTTCTCTCCCACTCAAAAATATCTGAGGCGACCTGCTCAAAGGGGAGCTCAGGAGTGGCTGTTGGTTTGAGGGGCAGCCTTGGCAGTCTGTTTTGGAACTCTGCACACTTACCGCAGTTCCTCACCATGTCTTCAATCTCAGCACTCATACCTGGCCAGTAAAGCACTTCCCGTGCCCTCTGCTTGCTTTTCACAATCCCAAGATGGGACTGGTGTATGAGCCCGAGCATGTGGTTTCGCAAGGTGGGAGGCACTACCACGCGCAGCCCTTTATACACTATTCCGTCACTTTCTGTTAACTGGTTCCGGGAATCCCAGTATGGCTGGATAGCAACAGGAACATCTCTTCTGTGCTCTGGCCATCCCTGCTGGATTATGTGTTGCAGCAGGCTGAGTTCTTTTTTTGTGCATTTTTGCAGCTCTGAATACTTATCCTTACTTACTGCTATATGGTTGCGCATCGACACACACTCTAATCCATGCAGCTCTGGTGTGTTGCAGGTCAGCTGTGCTCTCGACAGTGTGTCAGGCAGCTCCATGTCTTTCCCTCTTCTGTACTTGACAGTTATGTCATACCACTGCATGCGTAGGCGCATTCTCTGTATGCGCATGGGAGTTGAAAGCAGTGGCTTCTTGTAGATGTCCTCAAGCGGCTTGTGATCATTATAGACTGTAACCTGCTTTCCAAAGATGTAATGATGAAACTTTATGCACGCGCTTCTCTATTTGTGCATAGCGTGTTTCAGCATCAGTCAGGGACCTGGAGGAAAAGGCAACTGGACGGTTGTCCTGTAGGATCACAGCTCCCAATCCGCTGCTGCTTGCATCACAAAATATTTCTAAAGTCTCTGCTGGATCATTGTACTTTAGTACAGGTGGTTGTGAACACAAGTCTTTGAGTCTGTCAAATGCTTTTTTCTGTGCTGGCTGCCATGAAAACTCCACATTGCTTTTGAGAAGCTGGCGAAGGGGTGCGTCTTCCTCACTGAGGTTAGGAATGAACTTGGACAGATATGTGACAAAGCCCAGAAAGCATCGCACTCCCTCCTTGTCTGTTGGCGCAGCCATGGCCTGGACTGCTTCCACTTTTGCTGGGTCTGGCTTTAGACCGTCTGCTGTTAGCAAGTGCCCCACATATGGCACCTGGCTTTGTCGAATGTGACACTTCTTGAAGTTGAGTCTCAGGTTGTAGCTTGTGGCTTTCTCAATGACTATGCAGGATTTCATCATGTGTTTTCATGCCAGGCGCTGCAATCAGGATGTCATCCATAATAGCCACAGCACCTATTACACCATCCAGCATGCCATCCATGATGCGCTGGAAAATCTCTGGCGCACACTTTATTCCAAATGGTAGTCTGAGCCATCTGTATCTACCAATAGGTGTGTTGAATGTGGTGAGAAATGACGATTCTTCATCCAGTTCTATTTGGAGAAATCCTGACTTTGCGTCTAAAACAGAAAACACCTCGGCACCAGGCATGGAGGACACAACCTCTTCGATCGTGTGCATGGGGTAGTGTTCTCTCTTGATGACTTTATTAAGATCACTGGGATCTATGCAAATCCTTATTTTACCTCCACGCGAGACTGCCACCATGGAGCTGACCCATTCTGTGGGCTGTTCAACTTTGGCTATGTGGCCATCTTTTTCCATTTCAAGGAGTTTCTGCACAATCTTTTCTTTTAGTGCAGCAGGTTGCCTGCGCACTGGATGCACAACGCCTTTTGCATTTTCCTCTATTTTAATGGTGTATCTACCTGGCAAAGTCCCTGTGGTTACGTGTCAGTTCTGGAAAATCAGATAGACCTTCCGGAACACTCTCTTGAGGAGTGTTGTCAGTGTCTGTATTTTTTTGTTTTTTTACAGCCATCTTTTGCAATGAATCTAGTCTGACAATCAGACCTAATGCTTCTGCTGTTTTTCCACTGAGTACACTCTCTTGTACTATGTTGACTACTTCAAACTCGGCAGTAGTGACTCGGTTCTTATACTGGACTGTCAGATCTGCTACACCAACAGGTTTGATCTTGTGGTTGGAATATGAGCGCAACAGTATTTTGGAGCTTCTCAGTTCACCAGTGTGCATCAGTTGCTGATAACTGTCCAGTGTTAGCGTGTTACATTTTGCACCTGTATCTATTGTGAATTGGATCTCCTGTGACTTTATAATGACACATGCTGACCACTTATCATCCTGTGTCAATGAGCTTACAGGAGCCACAACTCTGTTCATGTTGATGTTCAGTATTTCTTCATCCGTTTGTTCATCATCAGAAGGCTCCAAGCATAGCGTGTTCAATGTGCGTTTACGGCACACAGCCATCCAATGATTTGGCTTGTAACAGTAGGAGCATGTTGAGCCTTTAGCCGGACACTTGCCGTTATTCCACTTGTGGTCTGCTTGCTTGTACAGTTGGCCATAAATTTCTGCTGAGTTAGTTTTGAACGGTCTGGAAATGTCTTTTGGTGTTGGCTGAATTTCTTGGGTTTAGCTGATAGCTGAGACACTTGATGACAGGCAGCATCATCTCTGACTATTTTCATTTGTTTCTGAGACATCTCATATTGTTGTGGTATCTCTAAGGCTTTAGCTAACGTCAGGTCTTCTCCTCTGTCTAGCAGCCTTTCTTGCACTTTTTTTTCGGACACCTGCTATAATGACATCCACAAGCATGTCGTCAGTGTCAGCGTACTCTCAGTCCATCAACAGTAGTTTTAGATCTTTGACAAAGTGGTCCAAAGTCTCACTTGCCCCTTGCTTCCTCTGCTTGAAGCGATGACGAGCTATTATTTTATTTTTCCTTGGCCTGATGTAGCCGGCAAATTTATCCAGTACTTTCATAGGGTCTTCTTTCTCGCCATCTGCCCAATCAAGCGTTTTGTAGACCTCTCTGCCTTGTTCTCCTATCCACGTGCCCAGCCATCCAGCTTTTCGCTTCGCAGCTCTGACAGCGGTCCGTCAAAAACGAACACAACGTGACTTCTAAATCTATCAAACTCCTGGTTTAAGTCTGCTGCATCCCAGTCAATCTTCGAGTGTTCAAAATGCGGAATCGCCATAACATCACTTTTTATGCTGTGCTTGACAGACTTCTGACACCATGTAAAGAACTGTGGCTTAAGAATCAGGCCTTGTTAACTTGTCACTGTGTAGCTTTATTTTGCCCTCACACACTGCACGTAACAACAATGCACTCTATCAGGTACGGTGGCTGAGGAGGATCATACAGTGCAAATTCGCACTTCACTATAGCGCTTCTAGCGCTATAACGTTACATTACAGTGAATCTTCATGCTGATGGTCTTTAATCATAGAGAGGCATCAGTCATTATTTCTGTTTCATAACCAATTTAAAACTCCACTTTAGTGAGGATGGCTCAGAAGATCATTGGGGTCTCTCTCCCCTCCAATCAGGGACTACACCGGGACAGATGCGGAAAGAGAAACCCTCTACGTTGTGAGAGACTCTTACCTCCCTGTGAATGGACGGTTTGATCTCTGACTGGTAGGAGATATCGCTCCATGAATCCAGGACGTCCAGAACGTGTAACAGCTCCTTCCACCAGGCCATAAACATAAGTCTTTCAGATGATTTAAACACAATATTTAACATGTTTTATGTCGCGTTGTAATTCTTGCAGTTCTCTTAAAGCATTTGTCTCTTTATTTTTTTTTTTTATTAACTGTTTCTTTGGCATCTTATTCATTTGTTCTCTCCTTAGCACCTTGGTCCCAAGAAATGTCATTTTATTCCACTTTATCTGAGTTATATTGGTATGGATGTAATGCCAATCAGATAATCCTGAAACTTGATTTTACTTTTTAATTCAGTGGAAAACTCTCACCCAAGATGTAAACAAACACTTTTGTCTGCAAGCTGTGCAAGAAAACAGTGTTTCATGAGCATTTAAGAAACGTCCCACTAAACACTCAATGTCCACACTTGAGTAAAAGAAGTCTTTGTTGTTCATACGCTCATAACTCACTCCATGTTTGAGGAACAATACTCCAGGAAGCGATGCATCGTGCTGAAGCCATGAACTTTAATCTCCAGTATTTCAATCATCTAATGTGACAGACCATTTATTCCCAGTGTGCAGTTCACGCATGGCTCTAAGTGTCATCCAACATTCCCAGAAAAGGAACTCATTTATACATTTCTTTTAATCCATCCTAAACACATACTCTACAGAAAGGCATCCTGGGAAATGAGACGTGTGCATGTTTTAAGAAGGACAGACTTGGCCTCTGGCGGTGGAGAGTGGTGGGCGCTGGTGTCTGATCTGTGGTGGATTTTGATTTGACTTAACACAAGAAACGTAATCCGATCGTGTCTGTAAGGAAGCCAGAGCGACATTTCTGTTACCCCAAAAACATAAACTTTAAATAAACTAAAAACAACATCTTCACTCACTTTTACATTATTTTCCACAGAGTGCCTTCTCCTTTTAAATTCTCCAAATAAATTAAAGACAAAATAAACACAACATAGATAAGAACTCAGGTTCATCTCATATACACACGTTTGAAGGAAATTATTTCAGTAACTTAAAGAGTACATTCTTTGTATTGCTTAAACATCAAACAAACACAAGTTGTTTTAATTAAGTGTTTTGATTTCCCTTAGAAATAAAGTGAATTCAAGTCATTCAATCCTTTGATTTCTTTCAATGGAGAGTTTTGATTTGCTCTTTTTCCTCCCGTCAGCAAATCAACATGTTGGACGTCTTCATGAGGTGGGCGGGGCTCAGGCGTGGCTGACGGGCAGCTGGGTCAATGAATGAGAGATGAGTGGCTGAAGCAGGAGAGGGTCTGGATTCTGAACTGAGGAGACAAAATAAAAACATGAATGTACATCAAAAAGATTATTTATTCAAAAAAAGAGTTCTTTCTGTAACAGTTACTCCACGACTAACTTCTTTGTTTTTATAAACTCCCTTCTGTTAAGACAGTCATATCCTTTTTTTTTTACAATAATGATGATGTCCGAAATCGCTCACTATATAGTGAATAAGCCATTTTGTCCTGGTGTTAATATGCCCTATCTAGTCCACTCATTGTATCCCACAATGCATTGTGAGAAGTAGTGTACAACCAAGCAGCAACCTCCGCTGATGCAAAATGAAGCCTGGGACAAAAAACAATATTTGTCTGATTTGTTATTGTCCTCATGGGGCACACACTGTATGGGGTACTTATTTTACTTTCTATTTTATTTTATGAACCATCCGCGTTACCCATAGTTACAGGATGTAACTTTTCACCTGTGTTGTTTGTAGAGCCCGTTATATTTCAAAGTCTGGTATGGATTGGATGGACTAACTAAATGTTTAAGCAGCTTTTAAGGAGCTTCTTCTCCTTGATCTCAATCTGTTGATTCTAACATACAGAACATGAAGTCGTCCACCATCAGTGCTCACCCTCACCCGTCAATATTTGAAGCACGGTAATGAGAACTGGCAGTGGATCTGAAGATGTGTGAAAACGTTTCTTACCATCCATGTAAGTCAGGGTGGTGAGCAGCGGTGTATCTGGAGAAATAAAGGTTGTGTATTGCAGATCTTCCATCCGAGGTGGTGTCAGCTGACCAGGAGCTAGTGATGTCATCATGGTTGAGGAGGCGGGATGCGGGCTGATATATTTCTTTTGACGAGCTCTGCAGTTCTGAAACCACACCTGGATGGAGAGAGAAAACGGGTCATTAATATTAACCATATTATCGACTTCAGTTTGCATATCCTCGCGTCCTCTCTCCTGACTGAAGGAATCAAGGAGAGGAGGCTTCTGTAAGAGCTGAGACGGTGGAGGGGAGACTGGTGTGGACGTACTTTCACAGTTTATTCTCACAGCACTGATCTGCATTAAATATAAAAGTATAACTAGCAATAAGAGTGAAACATATTGTCACACAACTTTATATAGGCTCGTTTAATTTAATTACTGTGGCATCACATGAAGCGACAGTTTGTACATCATTGACTTTTTATTGAACAATTAAATGAATATAAACTCATGCAGCTCTGTGGTGGATTATTGTGCAAATCAAGTACAATAAAAGCCTCAGTTATCACACCTCACACTGATCTGTACATGAGAATATTTTTAACGAAGATTAATTGATTTAACAACAACAACAATCAGCTGTTTAAACATTTACAGGCATCGATAGGTTCAATAAACAGCCTGTGACTAAAGTATCCATCCAGCTTAATGGATATTAAACTAAACAGATGACAGGTGAATCAGCTGTGCAGCTCGTCATCAATCAGACTGACGCTGTGGAACCAGGGATTTATCATTTGTTCTTGTTTCTGTTCCTGGCGTCCATTTGAACTCCTTTCTGGGAGGAGCTTAGAAACGACACGAGTGAGAGATGCATCAGTGAACTGAGAAAAACTCTGTGTCCTCACAGTCTTGATTTTCTTTGTAAACATTTACGATTTTTATAAATACAGCTGTTCATGCAAGTCTGAACACTTTTGCAAATGCACCAATTACTTGAATGTATTTGATATACAACCAATATAATGAATAAAAAACCTCTCCTATAAATTCATGGGCACTTTTCAATCGTCTGAATATCTTCAATGACATCTTTAGAGCACTTTTGGACATATTGAGTCATTTTTTCTACAGAGAAGTTAACTTCTTCTTCTCTAAGGGCTTAGGGAGAGCGCTCTCCCAGAGGTACACTTACTCACCTGAATAACCCTGCGGCTCAGACCGGTCCTCTCTGCCAGTTTCTGGAGAGTTTGGGCGTCTGGGTTGTTATCTTTAGCAAACTGAGTTTGCATTACCTACATATATCGAGACGACAGAGGGGGACAGGGTTACGTTTCTCAGATTTGAAGTTTAATCCCCGTATAATAATTCACAAGAGCAGACTGCACTGTTTAAATACAAAGCACTTCCTCCCACTGACACTAGAGGGCAGAAGAGCTCACAGACAGGGTTGAATATCACAGGTTTGAGCCTCACTTCTGAGTGGAAGTCCATAGCCCGTGTTTTGCAGTACCTGTAACTGGTCAACAGTGAAGCTGGTCCTGGCCCTCTTGGCGGGTCTGGGCGTGGTGCTGGACTCTTCTTTGTCTTCCACCTCCTCCTCGTCTCCTGGTTGCTCTGTAAGAAAAGAAATGCAACACAGGGGTCATAGGTCAGACAGAGCCAGAGCGTTGGTAACATCAGAGATGCATGGATGTAAACCTGCAGCTTTAATAGAATACAGTTAGTCTGATTGATCTACTGCTGGCTTTTATCCATTACCTTTGTGACAGAGCTGCAGCATAAAGATTTGAACTTAATATTGAAATTACTAAAGAAGAATCGCTTGACATGTGTGAAACAGCACGCCACTACAAATTCTCATTCTGGGAAATGTGAATAAAACTATTAAAAACATTCTGTGATAAATGATGCAACAATGTGTGACTTGTTTTAATATCCATCAGTTATTTACATTTCAAAAGATCTTGCTGACAACAAATAAGACAGCAATAACTAGACTGACTCCGACACAAAGTGAGAAACTAAAATCTGATTTGTACTATTAAAAAAAAAGACCAATCATCGAGAAAGTTTGTTTGGCAATAAATGGGAGAAATGGATGATTTATAACAGAATGTAAAGAACATGGACTGACACAAAAGAACCTGGATTTTTAAACTTCCTTCTTTGATCATTAGAAACCGTGTCATGTTTATTTGTTATTTATTCTGTATTTCTCAGTGTGCCCATTATTTTTGAATATTGATTTTTTTTCCCCTTACATTCAACCTGACCTTTGTTATCCGTCCATTTTCCAATCATCAATCCCATGCTTTTACTCACCGTTTTCCTTCGCCCGTTTGATACTCTCCATCATGATTTCATAGTGGGGTCTGCAGAAGACCCTGTTCTCTAGAAGCCCACATTCCTCCCCAGTGGAAAGCTGGCGCTTACACGAGGTGCAGGAGAAGCAGGCCAGGTGGAAGGTGCTTCCTCTGGCCCGACGCACCCAGTCACTGGAATGGATGTTACGTCCACAGCGGGCACAGCGCGTCCCATACCTCCTGTGGACAGATGTGAGACACAGAGGCCGAGTTTGAAGAGGAGTACAGGGTATGTTCCAGTTAAGATTATTATGGTCTGATGAAATCTAGTCAAGTTATCGGTCTATAAAGGAGATTCTCTGACCCAAGTCATGCCCAACACTTTAGGCTTTCTGGTGAGTCTTTAGATTCAGAGATTCCCTAATCCAGATGTTAAGGACAAAGTGCAGGACAGAGAATCTGGACTGCTGACTCCTACCTGGCTCCTCCAAGTACCTCAGTGGAGGAGGGGTATTTAGAGGAGCCAGGTAAGAGAGACCCGGGCACACACACTCTGGGCAGCGACGTGGTGACAAGCTTTTGTCCCCATTTTTAACATTTTTCCCGCGTGCATGTCAAGATTACTGGGTTTTGTTGGCTCGGCACCTTCCCTTCTTGTGTTCTTTTTGGCCGGGTCTCTCCGGCTCCCTTTGTATCTTTGATAAATGAAGCTCTAGCATAAGTTCAGTCAGGAAGACTATATATTTGCCTTCACGATCGGGTCTTTCTGATTCACCTCTTTTCGCACGCTCACTCATGTTTCCGCTGTCATTTGATAATCAGCTGTCTCGTCAGCGGTACTCATCTAACCAATCGCATGGTGTTCCTCCCTCATTTCAGCCTATCATCGTTCTGCTCCTCTTTTAATTATGATTCTTTCTCTGCCTCTTCCTCTTCCTTCATGCTGATGTTTTGTACACCCATCCAACTCCCTATCACCGCCCATCTTTTCAGAATCATCATCCATCAATTCTTCACTCATCTGGTCTCATTAAGTTCTCAGCTTCACCACCACCAGGATCTGGACTCCATTGGGGGATTTATTCTGTCGACACTTAGAATTGTCATTCTCCAAACACATCAACTGCCCCATAGAGTCCAAGCACCAAAGTCACATTTCCATGTTATTCATTTTAATAAATAATTTTCTTAATTCACTTGTCTCTTGATTGAACTTTGTTGGGTTTACTTTAAATAAAGCTCGGGATGAACTTCTGAGTGCAAATTACTCTCAGGTGCAGCAGACGAAGTAGGAGGCAGTAAAAGATCAGGTGTGTAGCAGGTAGAGAGAGAGAAACTTTTTACACCGTTTTCTTGCCCTTACTAAAACACTGACCTCTTGAAATAATTACTTTTATATGAAAATAGGCAACACACAGGGGCCCCAGTTAGCCTAGCAGTTATGTCAGGTACCCCCTGTAAAGAGGCTATAGTCCTCGTCACCTTCACAGGTTCTAGTCGGCCTCTTGCTTCATGTCTTTCCCCCCCTCTCTCCTCCCAACATTTCCCCTCTCTTCAGCCGTCATGTCCCATTAAGGATAAAATGCCCAAAAAATTAGCTTAAAAAAAGGTAACACACAAATAACATTAAAGACGACTGTAATCTCATCAGATGTGTTTTCCTGTTTCAAACATGTCGATTTTAAAGATAAAAGTATGTCTCACTAACCTGAAGTAGTCGAGTTTACAGAAAACTTGTTTCTCCTTGATATAGCAGCTCACGTGTCGCCCCAGAGATGTTTTACACACACTGCATGAGAGGCAGCGCACGTGCCAGCACAAGTCGTTCACCTGAGGTCGAGAAAAGAGACGACAGTTTGACTTTGGAGAGAAAAAGAATCCGTTCACATCTACTTTTAATCAAACACTGAAATGTAATTAGAACACAGTGGAACATTATTTTTCATCAGTTACAATTTCAACATTTTTCAAAAAAGAAAAACAGGAAGACCGCAGAACAGATGATAAGATTTATCAACACTTCTAACATGTATTTACTTGTAAAACCTGCATTAATGCTTACTGTAACAGGAATCAATCATCTTCACTGTAAATTAAATAATTCTAAACTTTGATTGCTTTTAGGTACACCTGAATTAAACTGTCCCAGAGTCTGCACAGTCTCTAGTGCTGCTAACCAGATATGACCATGTGTATTTAGCCCAGATGTCAAATTAAAAGTGTGACCCACACATGACTGAACTTGAACCACTGTTAAATGGACTTTAAGAGATTTTTTTGAGTGAGGCGTCAAGATGTTCATACAGTCTGCTATTTATAAATCATATTTTTAGACCAGTAATAACGATCACTACAACAAATGAAATGCTTGATTTGACTTTTCCAAAGTCGGGTGCAGTGGATAAGTCACTGAAGAACAGAGTCTTTTTTTTCTGGCACAACTTTACAGTCTGTCAGGGAGAGTGAAAGGTTTGAAGAGGTGAAAAAGCTCATTGGTCTAACTAGCCCACATTGTGCCTCATTGGCTGATATATATTTGGACGTAGGGTATATGATCGATTAAATTTATTTTTTAACCTTTTTTACATTTATCTCAATTTCTGTATTTAAATTATATTTTCAACGTGTTTCTGGGTGATCTCGATGAAGGCCACAAGCCGAAACACAATGGTCTAATAAAGTTAATTAAGACTGGATAATTCAAACACAAATCAAACACCATTAAAAGGAAATTTTTATGAAAAGAAATAATCTTTTACTTCTTCATTGTCTCATTTCAGGCATTTTAAATAATACTGTTTCTCACAACAGAATTATATTAGGCTATGTAAATCGAAGAGTATAAGCCACACTCTTACATCATTGGACTTACAGGTTACAAAACTTTCGGCAATGTCCTTTTTTAAATTTCTGTAATAGTCTATTTAAAATAAAGAAAAAGGGAAAAAAAATTGAATAAACTACTTCTTTTTTTTTTTTTCAAACCATATCCTACAATACATTTCTCTCTTTGTTCATGTATTTACATATATTATTTACGTTTAGAGTTGTAGTTTGCACGCAGTTTAAAGTGAGTGTGACCTTGAGGAGGTACCGGTCCTCTATCTCCAGGCCGCAGGACGTGCACAGGGTCCTGCCCGGCAGAAAGGCCACCGTGGGGACCGAGGAGGAGGAGGAGGAGGACAGGGAGGACGGAGAGTAGCAGTCCTCGTCGAAAATATCTTCAGGCCCAGAGGAACCCTGACAGAGAAAACAATTAAAGAAAAAACAAGAACAGCTTGAAATCACTTTTTATAAAGGCTATAGGCCTAGCCCATCAGTTAGTGCGTCGTTTAGAGCTCAACACATATTAAACTTTGGCTATATAGGCTAGCTGTAATTCCGTCATTAAAAACACCTACTGAGTCGATGAATATATTCCCCTGCAGCTGAGTGAACACAGCCTCCGTCGTTCGCCTTTCTCCCTCCGACATGCTGTCAGTGAAGTCCATTAAGCCGAGAGACGACAGAGTCAGCTAAAGTCCCCTCATACTGTATCTCCATGACAACCGCAGTGATTAACCCGCACACTCATTAAGTTCACCCCAAACAAACCTTCAAGCATCTCTGTAAATGACTTTATTCACGTGTTGTTATCACGTGTTGAGATGTTGTCCTGACTTTTATTCACATAATTGTGGATTTTAAAACGTTATTTTTTTGCCAATAAAAAAGTTTCAAACTGTGGTGTAAAATGGAGACTGTCCGCAGCTGAACGTGATTCTTCCTGATTGATTTCTTGCTGCGCACGTGAACAATTAAGGCGCCACCAGGTGAGGGGAGGTCGGTATGCTGGCTTTGATGTCCCGGTAGTCATGGCAACGTCTCAGATCTAATTAACTAATTTACAGGCGCTTAAACTTTTATATATAAAAAAAGTTTGTAAAAACTGTAGATCTTAGTGTAACACATGTTTTTGTACACATACACAAATCAAACTAATAACTAAAAATATATTAAATAAAATCACTACTTGAAACTGGGCTCCCATCCCAGGCTTCACATTATGTGCTAGCCTACTTTAGGTGAAAGAGAAAGTTTATAGTTTGATTTTATTTTTTGATATTCAGCAACAGCATTTGATGTCCTCGGATAGATGATCTAATGAATGACTTATGAATTATAAACATGGCCAGCGTGCAGAATATTGCATGTTATGGATTGACCTCTAATTAAGTGGGAACACAAATCAGATAAAAGTAGCGCCATAAAAGATTTACCTTGACTTTATTTTATTCATAAAACTTTGTATTGAGAGGCCCTTTTTTTCTAAACGAAACAGGTTTAATAATATTTTTACAATATTAATATCACATCTCTTTGACTTTAAATGCCATGTTATCGATTAGCGTGCATTATTTCGGTGTTATGTTGTACCTGTAGGCCCGTTATTTATAGGTGTCATAATGGCCTACATGGATAGTATATGCGAGGGGGAAGTTTAACCCCTCTTAATATTATCGATCATTGCAACTATCTAGAGCGGATATCGCTTCTGCATATAGGCTAGGTCATAAATATGTTATATCGTATTTTACAATCACTTAAAATGTTCCTGTCTAAAAGTAGCCTAAATGTTTAATTTGATGTAGGATACATGATGCAAATGAAAATAAAAAGCAGGCTGTGTTGAAATTAATTTTGAAATAAAGCTTTGAGAGAAAAATCTTACAACATGACAATCTCTGAACTATGAAATTAAAAGTTAAATTCAAGTTACAGCATGCCGCCGCTTTTGTTTAAAATGTAATAATGGTGATATTAATCTTCAGTCTTATCAAGTATATTTGAGTTTTGCACAGTAGACCTACACCTATAGGCTCTTTGTGTGTATGGATGTGTTATCACTCACCACGCTGTGGGACACGGAGGTGAACATGTTCACGGATCATCCGTGGACTCCTCTGGCACATCGACGCGCAGCCAGATGTTTTTATTCCACAGGAGCTGAGAGGACAGGGAGCCAGATGTTTGACTCCCCTATTAGTCCACCGCTCTTCAGCGTGCTTCAACCCGGTTTATAGTCTCGACCCTTTTTTCTCTCACCAGTCAAACCAGTCTGAGAGTCACAACTTGTTCTGTTGTCATTTAAAGCAGCGCGGCGCACCGCCCACTGTGAGGCCCTGACCCGCCCGCTGCTGCGGAGTAATGATGTGAGGATAGTTTTCATTTGGCCTTTTTAGTTACCTTCTACTTTTATCTGAGCCTTTTCAAGATTTCAAGATAACAAAAATAAATATATATATTTTTTAAGGTCAGGTAAGAAATGGATAATAAATGCAACATTCTCCTGTCATCAAATCTAAAACTTGAAGTCAGACTCACTGGCGGAGCTAGACAGTCCTGACCAGGGGGGCCAAACTGGGGCCCTGACTTACACATAGGAATAAACAAACACACACATGGATGATGAGAAGCATTATTTACCCTTTCTATCTGCACTCATAATATCTATGTTAACTTATAACATTAAAGTAGCCTTTCTAAAATATTCTTGCTTAAAAAATAAGTCCCTTTGCAAACTAATAAAGAAAAGTGTAATTTTGAAATGTAAAGAAAGTCTCAATAACTGCCTCCAACACATGCTGAATAGTTGATCTTTTTAAGTCCTGTCTTTGAGAAAGAAAATAACTGATCATAGGTAATCATTTTGGGGTGGGCACAGGGTTGGCTAATCATGTGGGCCAGGCCTTGTTGGCGTAGGCAGTGTGTCAGTTTCATATTCTGAAGGTTGTTGAGCCTCACACAGGGGCAAAATTCACACAACACTGATGACACAACATGGAAAATAACTAAGTTCTTGTCATGCTAAACGGTAAATTACAGCCTGGAGCATGAATAGTTACAAAGCCTTTACTTGCCAATCCTTTAATCTGCACCCACATCATTAAAAAAAAACACTAAAGAACTTTTTAAAACCGTATTTATGTTCTTTATCAAACCTTCTGAAAAAGTCGACGTTCTTCTGTGAGCAGCATTTCTCTTCACTCAGCCCTGTGACGTTATCTGTGTTCCTCATCTTTCCCCTCCTCGTCTTCAGAGACTTTATGAACACAGCACAGGTCGAGTTTAGGGACTGAATGATATTATTTTAGACACCAACACCGTCTGAGCGGCAGCAGCACTCACAGGGCAGCTCACTGATACACTGAACTGCTGAAAACTATTAATGTTCATTTAGTGTGAGACAGAGTTAAGTTACTTTAGAGCCTTTAGAGGTTATCATTGTAATATTTAAAAACCTTTATGTTATATGATGTTTTTTAAGTTACTGTAAAATATACATAACCCCAAGACATTTTGTCCTACCCTTACTTATATTTATGGATTATCAAAATATTGAGGACTTTGTAAGTGACGTGTTCAGTAATGAGTTGAAGTGTGGGTTCAGGGCTCTGAATGCGAGAGGGGATGAAGTGAGACTTTAAGTGGAGACGATGGCTCACCAGAGTCAGGGGTCAAAAAGGCATGAATGAAACATTCTCCGAGGGCACTTTGTGAATGGAGAGAGGAAGGGGGACTGGGTCCAGAATCCTTTGGGCCTTATATGTCAGCAACCTGATCCCTCAGACCGCCGAGCCTTTTTAACTGGATGTTTATGAGAACGTTTAACATCACGCAGACGTGTGCTACATAGAGGGTTTTTTTTTCTTAAACATTATTTTCATTGATGTATTTTTATGACAATATAATCCAAACAAAGTCACAAATTCATCTAAACCCTGTGTCAAGGATATAAGAGCATATCATCATATATCATCCATGTGTCAAATCCAAGCTGTCCACTATGATAATATCCATAAACTAAACATATAAATAAAATAAAACAATCCATATATGGAAGCAGATGTTGTCAAGACGAGTCCAAATGTTGCAGAAAGGGACCCCAAGAATCTCCCCATTTATGTTTACAATTTTAATTATGAGTGCACAATTTCTCCATGTGGATCACCAAACCAGTTCATGCAGCATGGTGGAGTCGCTGTCTTCCAGTCTTTGAGAATCCTTTTATTTTTTTTTAGATAATAACATGCCTATCAACAGAGATGTTTGAATGTTTGAAGGGAGCATCAAGGAGTCCTCTAGTGTGCTTAATAAAAAAGAAAAACTGTTGTCATGAATGAAAGAATTAGCTCCACCATGATAATTACATTGAGCCCAAAAACAAATACTGAACGTACCATTATTTCAATCAGGAGTGAAAAGTGAATTAAGAAAATCATTTATTACAATGAATAACATGGAAATGTGTCTTGACAGAAAGACTTTGGTGCTTGGACTCTATGGGGCGGTTGATGTGTTTGGAGAATGTTTCTGAGCGTTAACAGAATAAATCCCCCCATGGAGTCCAGACCCTGGTGGTGGTGAAGCTGAGGACTTGATGAGACCAGATGGGTGAAGATTTGATGGAAGATGATTCTGAAAAGATGGGCGGTGATGGGGAGGAGAAGGGGTGTTCGTAACATGAGCATTAAGTTACTAAAGTCAGAGAAAGAATCATAGGAGCAGAATGATGATAGGCTGACAATGAGGGAGGAAGACCATGCAATTGGTTAGATGAGATGGCTGAAGAGACAGCTGATTATCCCACAGCTTGAAAATGACAGCAAAACATACTGCAAAAAAAAATTAGATTCTGCAATATTTCTGACAGCTTCAGGGTTCATCCATTCATTGAAGGGAGAGGGTCCAGGAGGACCGAAATAACATCAAGTCAAACCTTAGTTGTTGCCTCAGCTTGACAGAAAGTCTTGAATTTAGAAATCCTCAGCTTTCTCTCCTGTAGTCTGAAATAAAGGAACATGTTTTTCATATCCTCAATAGTGTTGTTTATTTTACTAATTTAAAAGACTCCTGGACCTTTTGAATGTTATGGATCAACTTATATTTAGTTGTGGCGCCAATTTATAGCAAACCTATATCTAAAGACACTTTACAAAAAACAGGTTTAGACTGCACTCTTCATTAAAAACGCTAAACGGACTTGAGCTTGTATAGTGCTTTTACACCGCAGGTCACAACTACACATTGACACAGTGTATGTGAATGTACTACTAATCCCATTCATGCACATTCATACGACGCTGACAAAGCAGAAGGAGCAACTTGAGGTTAAGTGTCTTGTGTCCAAGGACACATCGGACATGTGGCTGCAGGAGCTGGGGATCGAACCCCCAACCTTCTGGTTGAGAGACAAACAACTATTTACAAAGACCAAACAATAATCCATCATGAGCACTAAGCAACATTCAGCCAATCAAAATGAATCTCTGTTCCAGCAGGCAGACGTAAGATTTAATTTGGACTTTTCCCATTGTCTCTCTCACCTGTGGCAGACCTCTCCACTCCCTCGCTCCCTAAGCCTCTTGGAGGATTTAGGACAACACTCCAGCAGACGGCATCTGCTGCTGGACTCAAAGAGAGGAGTGGGGAGTCTGAGTTGTGGGGATTTAACTCTGAGTGACGACCCCCCCGGACTTCATGCTGAAAGGATTCTTTCCCCTTTAATTTAGAGCAGATCATTGTAGCATTTGTAAATGTTCAAATGTCCAGTGTACCTGTCAGTGCTGCTGGAGATGTGATGTGTAAAACAGCCACTAAATGAATGATGGTGGTCTATTAACGTGGAAGCTCTCCCTCCCTTAATAACTCAGGATTAGAGATATGATGCAGCTGCTTTTATTTCCATTTGTTCTTAAACGTCTTTAACTGAAGAAGGACTGAGAGCTCCGGACAACACA